TTACGATGCAGTTAGTGTGAGTGTTTGTATAAGTTCAAGCATTTAAATCTGGACATACAAAATACGAAAATTTCAAATAACAATAGGATTCCTCAAGTAAAAAACTACACTAAGAACCCTGTTCCGTATAAAAATGGTCGAAGAGTAAGCCACAGATGAGATACTAATAAACTGTTTAGTCTGGGCTCCCATCCCTCAGCCAGCTTATTGTACGTGTCGATATTCCAAAATCTGGGGGAACAATCCCAAACACTTCCAGCAGAAGTGTTTCAGATTCAGATACTCAGTGTGCACCCCTTTTGGGGAAGGTTTATGCTGACACCATAGTTTAGGACTCCTGTATTAACAGGCCCTCACAGAAGCCCATGGACTACCCATGACTCCCTGCTACACAGGGTTAGTTCGCATCGTGAGGACTGGTTCAGACAGTTGTTGGTGATGGATTTGCAGGTTGTAAGAAGTCCAGATCTTCTCTCCACGAGTACTAAGGCTTGACCTTGGGTAGCACCTGCTGGGAGTGTTACCACAGAGCCCTGCATCTTCAGCATACAAGTGCTGTATCTTTAAATTGTTCCTGAGGAAGATAAGGATGGCTTTGCATGAACTTCCATTCATAACAAAATATTTTAGAAAGGCATCCAGCTTGTGGCTTGCAGTAGTTAGCAATGCACTTCAGACAGACCATTCAGGACCTGACCCAGCTGCCCTGAATATTCTCACCTGGCTCGAGGCAGACTGATCTCCTCTCTCAGGGGCAAACAGGAAACATGTGTTGACTGCGTGTGGTGCTTGTGTTCCAGGTAGGTTGCCGGAGTGCCTTGCTGCCTGCACACTGGCTAGCTGATGCTCGGGCCGCCCGCAGTCTTGACAGCCTTTCCTTACTAAGCTTAGCCTCTCCAGGCTACCTTAGCTGCTGCAGGCCTGAGCTGTTCCTCCTCCTCCGGCATATGTGCTAACAGCTCCAAAGAGACGCTTGTTTCTCTGCAGTTTTGAGTTAGCTCCAGGAGGAGCTGGCCTTTAGCTGTAGAGCCAGCAGGACAGTTCCTTACCGGATTGGTGTGCTCACGGCATGGTTGGCATGGCTGATGGACTCCTGAAGGAGGGTGGCTTTCTCCACCATGCTGACGATAAGTTGATTTTTGTTGGTGTCAGAGCTGCACTCGGCACTCTCTGGTGCTGTGTGGTAGGACATCGTCCTTTGATCTGCTTCCCGTCCCAGCAGTGCGCTACTACAGAAGATTTGAGAGGCGGTGCAAGGGAAAGTGGACACTGCAGGGGCATGAGGAGCTGAGCGTGTGTCCCTAGCACCCACAACAGAGCTGGGTGCGGCGATCTGTCCCTGAGTCCAGTGCAGGGGAGGTGGAGACACAAGGACCTTAGGGCCTCCTGGACAGTCTGGCTGGATTCCCCAGCTCCAAGTTCAGAGCGACCCTCTCCACATCCATGCACGCGCATGCATCATGCAAAGCCGCCACTAGATGCCCGCAGAGAGTGAACGGCCTGCGCTCCAGACCCCAGCCTCCAGGCTGGGCTTGGTGGCCACCACCAGAACCCACTGTGGTCCACTGGTTTGCAGGACTATGGCAGCATCTGAACTGTGGACGGGCCGTGTGTCCTGCCTGCTGGCTCTACATTCTCAGGAAAAGCGCTTTCCCATTTGGCCTCCTACCACCCAGGCTGCGACATGCTGACGTTGGAACCTTCAGCAGTCTCTGCTGCAGCTGGTGCAGTGTTGCCTGTGTCCTGTGGTCAGTCTCCTTAGGACACACATGATCCTGCAAGTGGGCGTCTAGGTCACAAGGTGGTTTCCAAACAGATGGCTCCCTCCTCCCTCCTTCCACTGAAGTGACAGCAGTTAAATTGTCCCTCAGCCACCCTTGCACAGCTAGACATCAACTCTTTAGCTGTGCTGCTCTTGATTTGAAAGAGAATTACATGGGCTTTGTCTTTCCAGAAAACTTAGAACCTCAGTTCCTAGAGAATCAAAGATAATAAACCAGTAAGACACACTGGTTGGTCTGAGGGTCCAACACCAGGTGGCATTCTGAGAGCACACATCTGTGTCCTTGTCCCTGCCCAGCGGGTACATCTCATCTCAACTGTTAAATGGGGAAGTCACATGCGCTCTTATGTAAGCATTCACAGACAAGCCACAGGCCTGGGGATGCAGCAGACACCATGGGGCGGGGCTGGGTCCTCCATCTGAAAACATACTTGGCTTGCTCTGTGGGATTTTTCCTGCTCAGACCTTTGAGCATCGTGTTATTTCCCAGCCTGAAGAGACTGTGAGCTTCCTCTGTGGGCCGCTTTGGCTGAGGAGCTGTTGCTGGGAAGTGCAGAGTCAAGGCAGGTGCCTTCAGCTGCAGGGTTCTCGGTGCTGGTACATGTGAGCCTCCCACCAAAGACCCCATGCTCGGCAGAGCCACCAAGCGGGTCACAGCCTCCGTCTCCCTGTTGGAGATGTGGCTAGTGAAGGACCCACAGGCACGTGGCATCCTGTTATCCTACACACCAACGTCTTGGCTCCCCAGGGCTGTGCCTTTTGGTCAGGTCAACCCGTTATAGGATGCAGCAGCGTCGTTTGTCTCTGCATCTCAGACTTACGTAGAGGATGTTAATGCGTTTGCAGCACCTGGTGGAGAGTTGACACCCTCCCTCCCTCCCTCTCTCCCTCCCTCCCTCCCTGTTTTCCTTCTCTGTTTATTACACACACGCACACGCACACACGTATACACACACCACTGAGCAGCTAGAGACATACCAGTACTTCTGATCTCCAATACTTTCTACTGAAAAAAAAAAAAAATCATGCTCCCATCCTCAGTAGCTTTGGACAATGGCATTTTCCTTGGGGTTCTGGTTTTGAGCATCCTAAACCAAGCACTGTGTGGTATACAGACAGCTATGTGTGTGTGTGTGTGGGGGGTGGCCACGTGGTGAGCTGCATAGCCGGAGCAGGCCCCGCCCTCCCAGGGCGTGCATCTCCACCCACTGCTGGAGCCTCCGTGACAGTAGCCAAATGCGTGGATGGGGATTCGTGTGCCCCACCCTTTGAGAAACAACCATTTACAAACCTGACTTTGAAGGGCCTGACTTGCAGGTGCTCTGAGCCTGGTCAGGTGCCTGTCCTTGGTCAGTTCCTAACTTAGGATGCCCTTCTGCGAGAGCCAGGCACCACACTGGGTCATGAGATTGTCACCCTGCCTCCACCGTAGCCACATAGTTCCATTTAAAGAAATGTTTAACTTTTGAAAGCGTGCTGATTTTGCCTACATTCCTTCAAGTAGATGGGAAATGTCCCATTTCTTCCCACTGTAAGGTATGCCTGGATTCAGGGTTCTTCACGGATTCAGGGTATCAACTCTTCCCACTGTGAGGTATGCCTGGATTCAGGGTTCTTCACGTGGGTATCAACTCTTCCCACTGTAAGGTATGCCTGGATTCAGGCTTCT